TAGGGTACAACATCAACACTCCAATGAAGCTCTATTGTGATAATCAGGCTRCAGTTCATATTTCCTCTAATCCGGTGTTTCATGAAAGAACCAAGCACATTGAAGTTGACTGCCACTTTGTGAGGGAGAAGGTGCTGAATGGAGAGCTAGACACTACACATGTTAATATAGGAAACCAGTGGGCTAACTTATTTACAAAAGGCTCAAGTCGGGGAAGAGTGGACTACATATGTAACAAGCTGGGAGTATATGATATATATTGACCAGCTTGAGGGGGAGTGTTAGCGTAGGGGTATTTCTGTCTTTATACCTAGATTAATGTTGCTGATCTGTAATGTTGTGTTGGAACCAGTGCTCCTCACTTAAATAAGGGCACATGTCTTTTCAATTATTTTTAATAATATAAGTAATGTTTGGCCGACTGGGAGAATGTTATGTTGAGACTTCCAGTTCGAACCAGATTTTCTCCCTTCTCTCTTTCTCTCTTTCTTCCACCTTTCTACTTCTTTCTACATAACCGATCTTAGACAGATAGAATTCCAAGGCAAGCCGAATCATAACACAATGAAAACTTGCTTTTCTTTTTTTATGGATCTCTGAATGCAGTGAAGTTGTTCAGTAATCTGAATGTGTACTTGTAACCTCTAAGAAACATCTATTTTACAACTCTATCCCTATCAATAAATCTGCATGTTGTATTAGTAATTGTCCAATGCATTTATTATCTTTTAATTATAAATTTATTAATAGTTTCCAAAACTTTCATTCTTTAAATAAGTTTTAATAACTTTTAAATGCCTTTATTGTTATTTGACAATAATTTAATGTTTTACCCCTTTGAGTAATGTAGCTTACATATTTTTATAATTATTTTGTAATTAATTAATTAATTAATCCTCAATTATCGTTTAATATATTATCACTTTATTAATAAATTTAACATTTTCATTATTTAAATAAATTTTAAAATATGAGGGCTTTAGAATAAAAATTCTATTCTAACACCACCTTCTCTTAAGACCATGGCATTAAACTCCAAATCTGCAAAGTACATCACGAAGTTTGTGGTGCTATAACATGATTTTTCTCATCACCACCATCCCCAAATTTAGACATGCAAATAACTATCAAGTTTTCATCTCCAACACTATTACTTTAAGAATAAAAACCATTTGAGACAATTTGGTCTTTGGCCAACTGCTCCATAGCAATGGCACGTATAGTTTTAACCTTCAAAGGGTTCCTCTTGTAGACTTTCCTAAAATTCTTTCAAGGACAAGCCCCATAAATCCCCTCTTCTAACCAAGATAAAATCTTGTGAATGTGAACCAGTCTTTGGTTCTTATGACCTTTAAATGCTTTCCCCATCTAAAATCTTGTGAATGAGAACCAGTCTTTGGTTCTCAGCTAAGCATTACTTTAAGGACACCACTCAACAGTGGGAAATGATAAAGAGGGGTTTCTCTTATTTGATACCCTTATTGGTGAGAAAAGAAAAGGGATAAAGATTTTGGGGGAGACATTAATAACAACAAGAAGGTAGATCAGATGCATCCCCAAACTCATCTTGTCCACCAAAACTGGACCTTCAGAGTGAAATCCAAAATCCCCCATCAACATCATCATAATCATCTCCAAATTTCCAAAAAAAATTGTTCATATCATCCACACTGATTAGCTATCAAGATCTGTTCCAAAATCCCTCATCAACATCATCATAATCAACTCCAAATTTCCGCAATTTGTACATATCATTCACACTGATTAGCTATCAAGATCTAATCCAAAATCTGTATACGGTATACCCTTACAAAAGCACCTTGAGATGGAATGATAACAAGATTATAAGCGCAAGCCTCAAAACTGATTCAACCAAAGCCTTTAGTTTCTATGAATCCTTTCTTGGGGATGAGGAAAATAAGTGTTACATTTAAACTCTTAATAATGATTTCTATGACAGAATTACCCAAAAACGTATAATAAATCAGCACTATAAGCCTGAAAGAAACCCATATTGAATTCATCCAAACCTAGGCAATATCCTTATCCAAGTTAAAGACAATCTCCCCAACCCCTTCCTCTTGAAGAGTCTCTCTCACCATCACATTTTATCTTTTGGGATAACCCCAACCCACAAACTCAATTTTAGCTCTGAAACAGTAAACAACAAAGGGAATTAAAATATGAAGAGTATAGCATCTTCAGGCTCTTCCTTATATTTTTCTTCCTCTCCTTCAAGCAAGAGTCAAGCTATAAATTCCTCCCTGTCCTGCCACAAGTGACTATGCAAGTATGGACTTCGACACATGATTCAGAATCCGACACATGTCCAAGAGTCTGAATCAGCAAGATGAGAAACAACAAACTCTTGGGCATATATATGGGAAAATATATAATATTAAAATAGTTCATACCTGTAAAAGGAGGGACAAAATGTCACCTTTGTTAGCACTTACCAATTAATTTTAATTAGAAAAAATGACAATCAACTACTCATTTATGTCAAATAAGCCAAGAGATAAAAAGGAAATGTTACATAGAAATGTCCCCAAGAATCTGCGGAGTGTCAGACACTCCAAAGCATGTCCGACATTGGCATGTCATCCATTTAAAAGAGTCCATGCAACACACACCATGAAAGAATCTGCCATCCCATCCCTTTCTTCCACCAACCTTTTTTTATTGGAAATGGTAACTTCATTAATGAGATTTTTAAGCAAGGAGCAAAAAAGAGACATCAACCCCTAGTGTAGGGTGTTGAACCAATACAAGATGAATTATAAAGCTGCCCAAGTTCTCCCTAACTGCCCCCTGTTTTGCTAAAGTATTTGCTAGCCCATTAACTGATCTTCTTATCCACTTAAAGCAAGCATCCATCTCCCTTATTACAATGTAAATTTCCCTTATGAGCTGTCTACGTATCCAGGCTCCCAAACAACCTGATTGCATCCATTCAATTACCAATTTGGAATCCCCTTCTACATTTGGTGTAGCCCTAACTGTTTGGAAAATCTTACCCCTTGAAGCAGCACCATGACCTCTGCTCTCAAGGAATCTCCCATCCCTATTGGGCCTGAGTACATAGTCACTATTCTGCCTTCTCCATCTCTGAATACACCCATATACATGAAGGACCTGGATTACCTATAGAGCTTCCATCAAAGTTCAGCTTCACCCATTGTTGTGTTGGCAGAGTCCAAACTACATGTACTACCTGCTTGAAAGGAGCAGTACCTGCCGCAGCACCCCAATTCCTGTAGATATCATCAGCTAAGATATCCATAAACAGATCCAGTGTTTTCAGCCAGTGAATCACCTTAATCGTTATGCTTTGTTCAATTTCCTCCTTGGATCTATACTCATTCTTAAAAATTCTATTGTTTCTTTCCTCCCAAATTGACCAAAGTATAGCTGCTTTTGTAGCTCTCCACATGACCCTTCCGTGTTTCTTGGTTGCCTGAAGAAATGTGGGTCAAAGAGACCCACCACATTCATGGGAGGAGTCCACCTACAACCAAAGAAAGAAGAGAACCAAGAACAAATAAAGAGAATAAATGGACAGGAGAATAAGAGATGTGTGGTTGTCCCACCAGAACCCAAGCAGAGACTACAAACATGTGGTGAAAGTCAAATGTTTGGCCTTTTTCTTTACAGAAAATCCAAGGTGTTGATTTTTTGGAGTACCACTTCCCAGCAGAAAGCCCTAAATCTTTGAAGGTACAGGACTACACCAAACCTCCCTTGTTGGAAAGTTCCCGACACTGTTAGAGGACTGAAGGAGAACATCAAAGAAAGAAGAGCAGGTGAAATAACTAGATGGAGAAGGTTTCTAAATTCTGCTACCCAAGCAAGATTGATCCAAGTAGACTGTCCCTAAGAGAGTTATAAGTTCATCAACCAGCCCCATTTCCGACTCCCTTAACCCTCTCCTTAGACCTAGGTCCCATTTCCACAACCCATTTCTCACCCTTGATTGCAAGCAAATATCTCTTCTAAGAATCTCCAATGTGGAATACCTTTCCTCAATCTACCTATTTTCCAAATTTGGTTGTCAGCAGTTCTCTCTTCAAAAATCCCCAAAAACATTAGATTTAAAAGCTGAAATTAACTAAACATTTCAACTCCAGAAAAGAACATTTTAAAAAGAGGTAGTAAGGTATGGCATTGTTCCAAGCAAGATGACTTTATTGAACAGTTCAATATCTTCAATTCAAACTTAATATATATATATATATATATATATATATATATATATATATATATTTTAAATATGCACATACACAATTTTGTTTGTACTGAAGGATATTTTACCGCATTTCGATAATTCTCATATACTTCTTCCATTCCAGCAGCAACACTAGGAGGAAGCCTTCCAGATTCTGCTTCCTTTCTAATTCCCAAGAGCAGTTCTGCCATCACAGGTCAAACTTAATACAAGAAAGCAAACATCCCAGAATAACTTACAAATAAAGGCATGATGCATGCAAAAGTTGATTAGGATGTTCGGAACTCTACAAAATGTTCAAAAGCACAAGCTTAGATAAGGCTGTCCGAAGTAAAGCAATACCCTCTCAATGAGAATCGATGCAACATCACATAATTCTATTAGCCACTTACATCACTAAACCATCCAAACAACTAACCACAAAGAAATGTAATTTTTTCAGAAGATTACCACAAATACTTCTTTTTGAGGGGACCTTCATTAAATAACCAAGTCAACATACTCCGCAGTTTTCTCAAACTTAGATTATGCATGCTGGCTTTCTTGAAAGAATTTAATATATATTTCCATGTGTCAACATCATTATTGTTACAGATTAAACTGAGAATACATAAATCTTGAGAAGGGAAATTAACATCATTATTGTTATACCACTATTATAAATTTAGATTTTGTTGTGACTAAAATGTCCTTATCTTGCCTAGGTCCAGAAAAATATTACGGATAGAGAACTCTATTAGGGAAAATCAAGAGAGTCCATACAAGCCATAAAAGAAGTGGAAATCTATTTTGACAAAGAATAAAGGCAAAACAAAAAGCAGCAAACAATTATGGAAGGAGATCAAATTCTACAAAGAAAATACTGTTTTTGTATGAAGAAAAAGTAAATCTTCAAAATTTAAGAAGTTACTCATATTTGAAGACAGGCCACAGTTAGATACTCAGATTCTAGGTGTGACAATTGGTATTTCCAGGAGTTAAATTGCATAGATACAGTGCCTGTTAGAGTTTAGAATGTAGCAAACATTAAAAATAGACCAAAGCAGCAAAAAAAAGTTATAGGACAATAAGAGGTTAAATAAGTATTGCACAAAAATAGTAAAACCATATGAATCAAGTTAACTCAATGAAGCCTTATGCCAATTATCTGGGGTCACATAAATGAATCCTATTTCACCAGTTCACTCAAAATAAGCCTTTCAGCCTACCTTTAGGTGTTCTAGAAGTATCAACTTGAAACAGATCAATACTTCTTACTGGTCCACTAAGTAGTCCTTTGTGCACACCAAGCAATCTTAACTTCCCTCATCAGATATTGGGGCTAAACTCAGAAAAGCAGGGGCTATATGACAAACCCAAATACTCAACAAAACTCAGCTTGATGAAACTCATAGTTGCAATGGCATTGACAGCTCCAGCAGTCCATTTAATAAATATGAAGTTGAAGTCCAAGACTTGTGTTTCCCAAATGAGTTAAGAAAGCCTCCAATCAAAACGAGTTGTGCTTTCCTAATGATATAAGAAAGCATCCAATTAAACCACCCACCCTTATGGGGCCAGACTTCTGAATCAAAACAAACCCAGAAATACCTACAATACTAGAGGGCCCTCAATTTCAGTAGATTTTGATGACACTCTTTTTAAAGGGGAACCAGAAACAGGAGGAGACAATCTAGATTAGCACATTAGCAAGCAACTCTCTCACAAACAAATAATATAGTGGCCCCCCAAACAACTCAGGGCACATAATCCAATGAGAAACCCAGACCATAATCAAGTCTAAAATATCAACAATATATTGATTATAATCATGGAATAGACTGGCACTCTCCTCCTTACAAAAGGCCCCAATATCCTTAACTATAAAGCCTTGCATGTCAAATAGTGCCAAGAAATGTTTACAGAAAAACGCAAAAGACAGTGTACGAAAACATAAGGTGCTCCATTGCCTCCCTCTAGGCATATGCAGGACACAAACATGAGAAAAAATGTTGCACTTCTCCTCTGGATCTTTTTTTTTTCTTTTTTCATAAGCTTTGCCTCTGGAGCATTTGACAAGTTTTTATCTTTCTATGAACTACTTCCCACCCTAATGCCCTTATCCAAGAGAAGGGGACTAGGAGGAACCATTCCAGAAGGCTTTAGCTAACCCTTGAAGCCTTTTGTAAACAACTCTAAAGGATGAGCAAGAGAACTGCCTTCTTGACTCAATAACTCACAACCTTCTATCATGACTATTCATACAAGGGAAGATGCATCTAAGGAACTCTGTAAAAGACAGCACCTCATCTATCTCATGCTCCCTAGGATGTTCAGAGAACTAAAAGCCCAACATCAGCCAGAAGCAGAAAGTTAAAAAATATAATAGAGACCAAAAGAAGAAAGTTAAAAATATAATAGAGATTAGTTACCATTAGAGAGTGATACAGAGTGGAACTATTTTACCTTTGCAAAAGCTAATAGGATGTGTATACTCAGTTTGCTATACTTGCTTAACAATGTTTACTACACTCAAATTCCCAACCATTGTCCTGATAAAACCTACTAGTACTACATAGTCCATAATCCGAACATCATACTTAATAGATGATCACAAGGAAGGAGAATTGCATCTGATGAATCAAAATGGTCTTATAAATTTTGGTGCACCAAAAGAAGATGTTTTCTCTTTCAACAAGACAATTTTGCAATATTCTCAATCAAAATCCCAGAAATCCACGGATCAAGGGTTAGCACCAAGGAGAACCAAGGTATTAAAGAGCTACCAACAGCCTTCCAACACAAGCAGACACAAAATTCTCCATTCCAATCTCTTCCATGTTTATCCCCCATATAGAGCATTTATTAAAAGTCACTGAGACTGAGACCGGAGAACCACTGAAAGAAGTTGATACTGCTTCTAAGGCTAACATATATCACACCTAACTCATAACAAAAATAATGATGTCATTTCTACAAATTAGAGAACATATCCCAACCTCAATGGCTCAACCCAATAAATACTTTTTATTTTGGCAGCCTCTATTCTCAATGCTAAGATTGAAAGTACTTGGAATGGCAGGGTGACTGTCATGCCTGCTAAGTCCTTTTCTTGATAGGCCAACCAAGAACTTATTTTCATCACCAAAATACCAAAATATTGTTTTTTTTTTGATAAATCAAAATATAGTTATTTTCCTTCTATAGAATTTTCCTTTTAGCCAAAGTGATATTCACCAATCACATGAGATTCCAAATACACCCCTCCATTTTGCACATCCTGATCTAATTCTATGAGCAACATCCTCTTCAATCTCTCCTTTGTATGGATTATTGAACCAAGGTAACAGAAGAGGTCACATTGGGTTATCTCTAGGTTTCCGATCCAAAGTGTACCTTGCACTCTTACTATTATTAAATTTACATTGCATATGTTCTGTTTTAGTCCTTATTTTAAAACCTATTGTTTCTAATGTAGTTTCCCATAAACCTAATTTTGCATTTAACCCCTCATTAGTTTCATCAATTAATGCTATGTCATCAGCAAACATCAGGCACCATATATTATGATATTTTTATAATATAATAAAACACATATGCATGTTGTATTGAAATAGCATATAAATGTATTGTAGGATGGGCCAGGCTAGAAATGATCACTCCTACTCAAAACACTCCCATTTAGTAATCTGTAAACAGTCTACCAAAATTACAAATATAGATTAGGACTGTCAGACAGAATGGATCTAATTGTTCACTTTAGGTCCAAGCAGTGATTGCATGATATTGCACTTGTTGAAAGCAGAATAAACAGTTTATGTAGTTTGAAAACAGTTGACCATATTCTGACCAAAAATTAAAAACGTATACACAGTTTCTTTGTAATCAACAATTGATCAAATCTCTGCTTATTTGGCACTGATGTGCATTGCACATGCAATCGTCTGCCATTGTCAAACTAAAGCAATAAATTCACTATTCATTATTATTCCCTTCTAGAAAATCAATGTGGACCAAAGCTTCAAATAGCATCACTTCTAACCCCAGATAAATCTACTCAATCGGTTACCAGAATTCAGCTAAAGAACTACAGTAAAACAAGGAATTAAGTACAAATAATGGGATTTAAAATCTTACGCGTTGTATTCCTACCATTAAAGCATCTTTCCTATATGTCATATTCTATTCCCATCCAGAGATTTTTCCTACCGTCGTCATTCCAAAAATAACCAAAGCCTAGAAAATCAATGCAGTAGCAGTTATAGATGGTAAGCACTTCAAGTTGTTACAAACACAGGAAGATTAATTCTGGCCTACGTTTCAGTTTCCATACTTTTGTACTGTTAAGAATTCAATACTCGTAATTCGTAAAGAACAGGAGACAGAACAAAGTCATTCTGTTACGATCCAGTTGTCTTATGTTGGTAGTATGGAATGCTAATGTGAGGTATCCCATATCGGTAGAATGGGATGCTGTTGTGGGGTATATATGTGCTTGGGTTCCCTCCCTCTAACCGCTAGCTTTTAGGGGTGAGTTCTCCTAAGTCACGTATCACATTCTATACTCCTGGAGAAAATGAACCCAAATTACCAACCTTCTTCACTTCGAACATCAAGAAATGTCCGTGAATGACCGACTTCCTTCTCCGCCCCTGAATCCGAGGCAAGAACCGCCGCACTTCCCAGAATACCCCGCTTACCAGTGGATTCTTTATCATCCACCAACTCAGCCATCGCAACCTTCCAGGACGAATAGTTGTTCGACCCGATCGAAAAAGAACAAGAAATCGGAGAAACCATCAATGAAGGAACAGACGAAGTAGAATAAACCTTAGCCTTGGGAAATATTCCACAAACAGAAGGCGCTACCGAAAGATTCAACATAAGTCCGAAAAGAAAGAAATGACACTATGTAGCTCTAGTAGCGGTATTCACTTCTAAATTTTGAATCTGCAGACAAAGAACGAGCAACGAGAGTTTCTTGGTAAGGAAAAGCATCATAGATAGCGAAAACAGAAACCCTAACCCTATTTTTGGGCCTCGAATCTCGAATAGTTTACCTGAAGAGATCAAAATCACTAGTATCGGTGGAACTGTGGAAGTTTAGTTACAGAGATTTTTCGATTTATTTGTTTTTAATATTGGAGGTTCAAAAAAAAGAGATGTGATAAGAGAGAGAGAGAACTAGAGGCGGAGATTCACTTTCACGTCTGCCTTTTAAGGATACAGAGACAGAAGAATGATTGTTACGATCCTTACGTCGATGAGAAGTTTGTTATTCGTGAGAATCAGAATAAATTTTTATTTAATTTATTCTCGAAATTAAGATGCAGATGGAGGGAAAGCAGAAAAAAGGGAAAAGAAAAGAAGTTTGGGCCACTGCGTGTTCGAATCCTCCGATTTCAAATCTGCGTCCCACCCCACGACCAGGCGCCCCACACAATCGAATGGCGCCAAGTGTACTCCCGCACGAGTTCCCCCTCTGCGCGTGCGGAGCATAACGGGACGGCTGGTTAGCTTGTCCCTTGGGCTCCAAATTTCACCCAAAACCAAAATCACTCCCCGCTACTCCCCTTCTGAGCTTGGAGTTGGAGAGAAGCCCGACCGTTCTAGCAGATACATCGGAGGTATTCCCCGTCCTTTTATAAAATCACCATACGAACAAACTTTGAATCGACGAAAGTCCCGAGTCCTGAACAAATAATTATATATATTCCTTTTAATCCGCCGTTGATCTATCTCTCTTCCTACTATGTTTTTCTTAATCTCAGCTGCTTTTGTAGTATTGATATTTCGAGAACGAGGAAAGTTGTTCCGAGTGTGTAACAACTTAATCGGAATTCTGAACTCCGTGGTCTTTTTGTTCTCGATTCCGATCTTGGGAGATGGAATATGGCTGGCAAATAGAGCGAGCACTGACTGAGAAGTTCCTCGAGAAATCCATTATCACTCTGGGGTGTTTCTCATGTTGGTGTCTCTCGCCAGACTCATAGGTGCGTGTTACAGGATCTCATGGCTTCTCTGGATTTACTTATGCGTGATGTTCCTCCTCATTGTTCTTCTTTTCTGCTTCACAATCTTCACTTTCGTGGTGACTAACAAGAGTGCAGGAGAGGTTCTCTCGGGTAATGGGTATAAGGATTATAAACTGGGAGACTATTCAAATTGGTTGCAGAAGAGGGCTAACAACAACAAAAACTGGAACAAGATCAAGAGTTGCATGATGAATAGCTATGTCTGCAATAGCATTAGCGATGCCACCGACACAGTTGAACAGTTTTATTCTCGTCACTTATCGATTCAGGTGTGTAACATCATTCCCTTTTTCATATCGTTTTATTTACTCTTTGGGCTACGTTTGGATGTGATGTAAAAGCCGGAACCGTTTGGATGGGATGTAAAAATACACCGAGTATCGGTGTAAAACCTCACTTTCTAAGGCCTTTTACTTCGATAATCGATGTATAAAATACATTGATTTTTTCAATGTAAAACTCGACCAAAAGTAACTCGATGTAAAAGCAACGACTCTTTTGCCTCTAGCATCGCCAAGTTTAGTTCACCATCGAGTTTTGTTCACCAGCACCATCCACTACCCAGGGGTGCAACTTGGGCGGGCCTAACCCGGAATTTTACACGGGATGGGCTTGAATTTTCGGTCCTTGGGCTGGGCTCGAGTCCAAGAAGTTGGGTTCTTTTATTTTTCAGGTCAGGCTCGGGCCTAGCCCTTAGGTAGCCTGAACCTGGCCCGAGCTCGACCCAATCATAGATTTAATAAATACAAACCAAATCGTAGATCTAAGAACCATAACACAAAAAAAAAATTAAAGATCTAAGAAAACCACAATAGAAAAACAAATATATTTTGGGTTGTCTTTAGATCTGAAACGAGTTGACATCATTCCCTCAAATCTGAAGGACAACGTCTAGATTTGCCTCGGTATGTATTTTCTTCTTGTTCATTGCGAGATGGGGGCAATGAGATGCTTGGGAGCGTCCTGTGTTCTGCATTCGAACCTGTTACAAGGAGAACAAACAATGAGAGAAGAAGAAGAAGAAGAAGAAGAAGAAAAAGGTAGAGGGGAAGGGAGAGAGAGGGAGACAAAGGGAGTGGAAACAATGGTAGTGGTAGGGGTGCAAGTGGGCGGGTTGGGTCGGGTTTATGGTCAACCCAGGCCCGATCCTAAAATTTGGGCTTAAGGCCTGAGCTCGGCCCAAGCCCAAGGTCAAGCCCAATTTTCCCAACCCAAGCCCATCCCGTCTTGTAATTTGATGCACTCGGGTTGGTCAATGGACCCACTCTAAAATTATACATATATAAATGTATTTATGCAAATATATATACATATATTTGTGTATGTATGTAAATATGTATGCAAAATATCTATACAAAAGTTATATATACAAATATGTATGTTTTTTATTTTGGTTCTTAGATTTGCAATTTGATGTTGTATTTCTTATATGTGGATTTTTTATTCAATTGAATCCGTATTCCTTTCAATATAGGTTATTTTTTATCTGGATCTGTATTCCTTTGGTCTTGTCATTTTTGCATTTGTATTTCTTAGATTTGGGTAATTGTGTCAGCCCTTGCTACCCTTTTTGTATTTCTTAGATCTAAAATCCCGACCTTTTGTAATTGGTAAAAAGAAACCATGAGTTATTTTCTCCATCTAAGGGTAATCTAACAGAAAATCTGCCAATGAATGAGTAGAAGAATCATCATATCATGTTGTTTTTTCTAGGAAAATTATCTTTTAATATGTGTTGAATTAGCTATGTCAAAAGTCATTTTCCCGCTTTCATGTTTTACCCATTTCCAATTTGTCAAATCAAGATGAAAATAGCAAATTTTGCATAAATACTGATGTCTCTTCCATTTTTTTCATGTACTGATATTCAGGGAAGTGAACTAGATGATAAGAGTTGATTTAGATATGGCTTGAAATGAGTACCAATAAGCTTACAAGTGTAATTGCCTTTTGTGGTTTTAACAGGAGGAACATGCTTTTTAATCAGTATAACCACCAGTAATAAAACTAACTTGGTGAAATGATAGAAATATTTGTTTTGACATATTTGGGGACCATAGGAAGTGAGGTTGGATCCTGAGACATCCTATTGCAAGACTGAGGTTGTCCATGATATTGGAATGCAAATTATTGTATATGTAAGGTGATGGTGAGTAAAGGAATGGGGTCTTGGATCCTGAGACATCCTATTTGAAAGGCTAGACACTTTGTTTTGAGATTCAGTTGTTTTGAGATTCAATTGAGTACAAGAATGCAGGTTATTGTATCTGCTAATGCAGTTCAAAGTCTTTGGAATCAACATATTATTTGTCGATGGGGCTACTCTTCATCTGTTCTTGTTTTAGAGCACCTTTGTCGTGTATAGGATTATTATTTCTAATAACAATTATTCTGATATTGTTTTTTACAAATATATTATTCTAATATCGTTACTGATAAAGAAAAGACAAGTGCATAGGTATCTGCAAAAGCAAGAGTTCAATATAGATGGTTATCTATGGAGGGTGGTTGTTGGGCCAGAAAATGGGCATTTTAGTATAAAAGCTCAGTTATATGGAGGAAAGTGGGCAGTGCGATGATGAGATGTGAAGTGAAAAGGGTTACTTGTGTTTTGGTGTTTTGCTTAATTGCTTTTGGAACAATTAGCCAATGGTAGACAGACATGGCATCTTGGGGCTTTAGGCAACATCAACTAATAGAGTTGGCATAAATCCTGGAGAGTGCAGAGGTAGAGCAAACAGTTAAAAATATGTTTGGGAAAAGAGCTCAGCAAGACAACCACCATAGATTTTAGAATAGATGATTAATTGGCTTTGGCTAGTATTATTCTTCTTTTGGGTAGTGCTGTTAAAATTATCCCTATAATATTCTATTATAATAAAGCTTGATTGAGTACAAGAAATGTGTTTCTTATCTTACATGTGTTAATGGGTTTGGTGTAGCGATGAGTGATTTTTGGGCCTAGGTCCATATTGTCTAGGGTGAGCAACCTCATGAGATGTTTACACGTGTGTTTTGATACCATACAGTAGTTGAAATTGGCACCAACGATCATTATCAATTATGGGTGTAGTTTTACACTCATATTAACACCAAACATAACTAGAAAATACCTCATAATTTACACTGATCTTCCAGTGTAAAATTAAAACATGACCGGTTCATCTTTTGCGCTGACCTGGTGGGCCATTTTCCAAATACATCGGTGTACTTTTGTATTTACACCGCACCCAAACGAAGCCAAGATTTTGATCTTGAAACCTATTGGTAGATCCCCTCCCATTTTTGGATTTCCTACCTTTTTCTTCCTGTTTGATAGCATTATTCCTTGAAACAGACATTTGAGAAAATTTCCTTCACTTGGTAAAAATCACAGTTGGTTTGGGTATCTACCATCTATCACCATGACTGTATAACTGAATTTTCACTGCATTTTTGTAACTAGGTTTATTAGAAAACTACTAATTGAAAATGAATTTTCTTTTTGACTGATTGTTTAACATTGAGTTTGTAAAATATTGGTTTCTTTTTTTTTTTTTTGCTATTAGATCCCATTTAGATTATAAGTTTAGTTTTCTACTATTCGCTTTGCCAGAATGTTGTCCTCTGTTGTCAAGTGTTGGAGCACAGTTTGGATTTATAAGTTTTCTAGTTAAAAAATTGTTATCCACAATTACTTCAAAATTTGATGTAGTCATTTGCTTGTTGTGATTGCAGTTGGGATGTTGCAAGCCTCTAACAACATGCAAGTTCCAATATGAGAGGCCAACCATCTGGAACAAAACAAACACAACAAGCACCCTCACTGATTGTGCTTCTTGGGACAAGCCCACCGGAGAGCTCTGCTTCAATTGCTTCAATAGGGAGTTAATTACCTCCAGGCGATGTGATCACCGGAACGAACGCCGACATCGGAGAAGTGGATTTCGATCTAAGATGGAAGTGGAGAGAGGGTCGAGCATGAATGGGGCTTTTGGGTTTTTTGTTGAAATTTGGGAGACAATAGGACAAGCTTTTAACTTGTGGACTAAGGGCCTGTTCGTTTCCTCTTAACTCTTATCTCTTAAGAGGAATCTTTTAACTTTAAGAGAAAAATGGTTGTTCGTTTCTTCCTATCTCTTATCTCTTAAAGTGCAATCATACAACTTTTTGTTTTTCAATGATACACCAAAAAAGCAAACAAAAACTCTAATATATGGGGTCAAAATAGATATTTGATAATTTTTAGAATTCAGAGTTCAGAACAACATTCTCTACATTCAAAGTTCAGAGGAAAGAAAAGTTCACCAATACCAATATACCTCTTAATATAATTATTGCACTTTCAGATGTCAGACTTCAGAGCAAACGAATAGGCCCTAACTCGAGTGGAGGACAGGTGTTTCCATTTGATTTTGTGGGGCGCCTGTTAGGAGACGCCATTGGGCTTGAGAAGAGCCAAATGACATGGTGGTGGTGCATCATTACTGGCTGTAATTGTGAAAAATCAACAAATTGTAGAGGACTCAACTTGGACAATAGACTCAATAGAGTGGCCAATGGGTTTTCCCCACGTGGATGGATGTTGATTGAGTACTATTTGGCGGGTGGGCGAGCGGGCAAGCTTTTGATAGCCTGTATGCAAGAGAAAACAATGAAATATGGAATTGAATATATACTATGATGGGTATTTCTCATGTGAGTCCGGATCTGCACCTCATGGAGCACTTCTCACATCGATCTCATAGCACATCGAGAACATCACCAAAAATTGTATTTATTATTTATGGGAAGATGTTTCCAATACAAGGTGGGATGTGGCTGTGAGGTTAGTCTTCCAAGTGAGAAAGCACTCTCAGGAGTAAATCTCGATTCTTCTCATGTTCCAATCCAACAATAAAAGCTCTCACCACCCCTTTTAAAGAGAAAGGGCAAATTTCTTAAATTATCCCCAAGTTTTAGAAAATTGACTAATTCTATCCCTATGATTTATATATTGTCTTAAAGTACCCCTAAAGTTTCTAACAATTGACTAAATCCTCCCATACCTTTAACATCCATTAGTATTCCGTCACAATCCATTCACATGTGAGACCACCGAATATATAATTTTTTTAAAACCAATATTGCCCTTTTTGTGGCCAACATTGTCCTTTATTCTTTAAAATTTCAAAATAAAACTCAGTAATAATGTTAATAAACAATTTTCAATAATTAGTGTTGATAAACAAATCACGTTATCCCAACCTGCATAGATTTTCAGCAATCATAAGGGTGACAAAGATTATTTTTGTAATCAATGCAGAGACAAACAACACTAAAAATCCAAATTACTCTAGCCCATCTCCCTCCAATGGCCACTGATTCTAGGGAAAGGCCACTTGGCATAGATAGTGACTAGTATAAGACCTAGGTGTTCATGTTAGACAGTTTTGTATGCCCTTAGCTTCAATCAGAATGATGTACTTTATGAGTTTATTGTAAATGAATAAAGATACATATTTG